AAGCAGTGGTATCAACGCAGAGTACTACCCGCAAAAGTTTTGAAAAGCACCCCAAAAATTTTTTCGGAGTGCGTGGCTAACGCCACGCACCTTCTTTAGAAAAAAATTTTTGTCGCGCCCCCCCCCCCCCCCCCGAGCCGAAATCCTGGGTACGCCACTGATATATATATATATATATATAAGGTCGTTCCGAAAGTAATTTCGCTTTTTTCAAAGGGGCGCCACATCTGATGGAGCAAAGGTTTCTGAGAGATTCTGGTAACATTCGAAACAGCATTTCATTCTCTTTCTAATGGCTATGAAATTGTTGCAAAACAGTTAATGAGCTTTCAGAAAATAACCAAAATCTGCGACCTATGCTTTTTGAGATAGTCAAGTTTCACAATTTTTTAAAAGTTTCATATCATTCTCAGAGGAAGTTCAAGTGACGTTTCGATAGAGCAAACCTCATAGAATACAGCGCAACTTTTTTCCCTTTTCCATAGCTTGTCATACATTTTTAACAGAATTTTAACTGATGCTACCTATTTCCATACTTGGACAGCTAAATCCTAGTAGAACATCAAACCTTGAGCTCGGGTGTCGATCGATGCAGCTTTTTCTCCTCTTTCTGATGGGTGTTTTTTGTTTCCGATTCGTTTAGTTTCCGGGGATAAAATCATCATAACTCATATTTTAGGGATCCCCAGGCTGTACCCGAAAACTCGAAATTTGATATTTCGAAGGCCGTAGCCTCACTTGCTTTGTAAAATTAATGCTAACTCATAGTACCATCTTGGTAGTCTCAACTTCCGAAAAAATATGATGTTTGATGCGATTGTGGCTGAGGTGGGACTGCCAAAATCCGATGGCTTTGTTAAAAAAATTAAAAAATAAAGGCGAGCTACGAGAAAGAGAAAAAAAAGTATTGTATTCTATGAGCTTTACTCTATCGAATCGTTACTTGAACTCCTTCTGAGGATTGATATGAAAGGTTTAAAAAATCGTGAAACTTGACCATCTCAAAAAGCATGGGTCGCAGATTTTGGTTTTTTTCTGAAAGCTCATTGACTGTTTTGCAACAATTTCATAACCATAGAAAAAGACTAAAATGCTGCATCGAATGCTTCCAAGATCTCTTGGAAACCTTTGTTCCATCAGATGTGGCGCCCGTTTGAAAAAAGCGAAATTACTTTCGGAATGACCTAATACATATATACAGGGTGTCCCAAAAAGATGTGCACACTGTTGATTTTGAATAACTCTCTTATTATGAGGTCTTTCGAGAAGCGGCAAGCGCCATTTTGTAGAGCTAGCCTCAACTTAGATTTACATTATAGAGGCAAATCACAGACCACTCTTCATTGCTGTAGGATTACGGTAATAGCTTGAAAGAGGGTTTTGGGCCATGAAATGCCGTATTTTGCCTCAGAAAGGAATCAAAACAACCTTAAAACTTTTACACTAGGCTAATTAAAGTTGCTGATTATAACTGTAAAGTTCCCAACTTGTTATGATGCTTCATTGAAGAGTTATGCCAGGTAAGAGGTAGCGGCCATTTTTTCAACGTTCTTAAAAAGTGCGATTACACCGTTTAGAAAGCTTCGCAATCTTGTGAATAGTTGAGTGTTAAACTCGGCGTCCAAAAAAACCCTGTTAGACAAGTTTTCACATTTTTTTGAAAATTTTTGAAACGGCAGCTTTTTCCACATTGACACCATATGTTCCAAGTTTCTACCGTAATCCTACAGCAATGAAGAGTGGTCTGTGATTTGCTCTATAATGTAAATCTAA